GTTCTCCGGTCTTGGCCCCGCGCCTCCCCCGGGGGTTCCCCACGAAGCTCGGCCCGATCCCGGCTCTCCGGGAAAGGACCGTCTTGGCCGGGGAGGGAGCAGCTCGCCAAGGGTTAAGGGGCGCCGAGCTGGCTTCCTAGAGAGGACAGGAAAGGAAGGCGGGCCGCTCCTCCCCCCCCTCTGACGTCCCTTCCGGCCTCGCCTGCGCCTGCCGGGCTCCTCTCGGGGGAAGCCTGCGGAACTCCCTGCCCCGGGAAGGGGCCAAGGCGGGCCTCGGAAGCAGCTCCGGGAAGCTTCTCCTTTTGTGCAGCCCGACGCCGAGGTAACTTTTGATTTTGTTTCCTCTTCAGCTGAGAAAAGGCTCTTTCTCCGGGGCCACGTGCATTCCTCATCCAAAGGAGCATTCTCAGAATTGCTTCTCCATTAGGGAGTCTGTCAGCTGTCTCTCCCTGGTGCTGCTGCTGCTTCTTCCTCCTCCTGCTGCTCTCCCAATATTTCCCAGCTTCTCCCCTCTGCAGCCTCTGAACTATGATCTTCTGCAAACCACTGTTGTCAATCTATACTGTCCTCCTCTTCTCGGGAAGGTTCAGGAGGAGGGAAGGGGGTCTCCATCATTCCTCTTGGGTCCAGTCCCGGACACCACCTGAAGCCTGTTGGAGAAAAAGGTGGGATAGAAATGCCATTAGTAAAAGAGGGAACCCAGTTGAGAACCCAACCGCTGCATTTGGGTCCAGTTTCCGAGTCGTCTTCCAGGGCAGTTCCACCCAGAGGGCGTTGCAACCTTCCCATCGGATCCAGAGCAGGAAGTCCCCAAGGACGGTGGCTGGAGCTAGACATGGGCCCTGCTGCTCACCAAGCCACCCAAGCAGATATGGCTGGGTTGGAGTGAAGCTCTGGACTATGAAGTGGGGTTGGGAGGGACCCCACTGTTGCCTTGGCTCCAGATTACACGTTATATAAATGACTCACTTGTCATTCACAGTTATGACTTCTTCCTCCTCCTCCTCTCCCCACGATTCCTCAGGGAACATTCTTCTTCTCTTGGCTGTGCTTTGATCTTATAATAGAACGTGTTTGATTCGTAGGATTTGCTGCAGCTTGCATTAGGACACACAAAACTTGGCAGAGGACCAAGGGGCTCCTTCCGATCTCTTGGAGACTTACCGGGAGCCCAGATGGATGAGCAAGACTCAGCTGGCCCTGAAGCAGGAAGAGGCCATGCCCTGGAAACTGGGAGTAGTGGGGGATTCGGGGAAAGCTCCGTGCAGAAGATCCTGGGTGAGGAGGACACCCCTTGCTCAGAGGTGCAGAGCCAGCAGCTCAGGCAGTTCTGCTACCAGGAGGCCAAAGGACCCCGAGAGGTTTGCAGCCAACTCTACCACCTTTGCCATCAATGGCTGAAGCCAGAAAGGCACACAAAAGCTCAGATGCTGGACCTGGTGATCTTGGAGCAGTTCCTGGCTGTCCTTCCTCTGGAGATGGAGAACTGGGTGAGGGAATGCGGAGCGGAGACCACTTCCCAGGCGGTGGCCCTGGCCGAAGGTTTCCTCCTGAGTCAGGCAGAGGAGAGGAAGCAGGCAGAGCAGCAGGTGAGAGAGACTTTCCTCTGGATACTCCCAAGGGGCTCCAAAGAGGAGGGAGAGTATTCCCAAATCATTTCCTAATGGCCCATCCTTTTTTGGAAAGCATATTATTATTATTATTATTATTATTATTATTAATGACACCCATGTGGCTGGGTGCCTTCCAGCACATGTAAAAGCATAAGAAGACATCAGATGTCTTCTAAAAGCTATGCATTTTCTTATCTCCTACTCACCTGATGGGAGGGCATTCCCCAGGGTTGTGGCCACTGTGGAGAAGGTCTTCTGCCTGGTTCCCTGTAACTTCACTTGTCACAGTGAGGGAATCAGCAGAAGACCCTCCGAACTGGACCTCAGTCCATGGAGACGCTCCTGTGGGTATACTGGGCCTTTGAGGCCGTTTAGGGCTATGAATTGTGCTTGGAAACGTTCTGGGAGCCAGTGAAGATCCTTGAGGACCAATGTTTCATGGTCCTGGCAGCCAACCCCAGACACCAGTCTAGCAGAAGCAGGAAGCAGCTTTCACCTCTGTCCCCCGAAAGCGCTTGCCTCCGCCATTTCCTTCTCCCCATTCTCTGTTTTGAATCCTTGTTGCTCTTTCAGAGGAAGGATCTTTTGGCAGAAATGGGTCTTGATTCTTCTGAGGCAGAGAAGACTCCGCTGGACACCAGAGTGAGGCCTCTGGGTAAGGAGGAAGGAGGGTTTTCTCCCCCGTTTTGTCACATTCTCTTGGTTTTGAAACTAATCTGTGAGTTCTTTGCATCTTTTGGGGGAAGACACCTGGAGCCCAGAGCTCAGAGGGGGGGGAGATGTATTTTTGCACAACTATTATGTGAAATGGGTACAAATGTCCAAATGTACTCAGCAGGGGAGACGTTTACGATAGTAATTTGATTAGTTTACAATTACAGTCCAATAATTGCCTCCTTATAACAATGTGACATTACAATATAATTACTAATACCAATCTTTAAGATATAAAATTACCGTATTTTTTGCCCCATAGGGCACCCTGGCCCATAGGGTGCTCCTAGTTTTTTGGGAGGGAAATAAAGAAAAAAAATTATTTCCCCCCCCCAGGCGCGGGCGGGGCGGGGAAGTCTGAGCTTCCCCCGACCCCAGCCCCCAGAACAGGCTACTATCCACAAGCCTAGGGAGCCTGCGGGAAGTCGCGCCCGTCTCCCCAGGCTTGCGGATATCTGCCCTGAAGGCTTCGGGATGCAGGCAACTCCGCAAACCAGGTCGGGGAACAGCGGGATGGTGGCGCTCCGCTTCCCCGTTGTCCCCCAAGCTTGTGGGGCTGCCCGATATCTGCTGTGCAGCGCGCCCCAGGCTTCATAGAATCCTAGAGTTGGAAGAGACCCCAAGGGCCATCGAGTCCAACCCCCTGCCAAGCAGGAAACACCATCAGAGCACTCCTGACATATGGTTGTCAAGCCTCTGCTTAAAGACCTCCAAAGAAGGAGACTCCACCACACTCCTTGGCAGCAAATTCCACTGTCGAACAGCTCTTACTGTCAGGAAGTTCTTCCGAATGTTTAGGTGGAATCTTCTTTCTTGTAGTTTGGATCCATTGCTCCGTGTCCGCTTCTCTGGAGCAGCAGAAAACAACCTTTCTCCCTCCTCTATGTGACATCCTTTTATATATTTGAACATGGCTATCATATCACCCCTTAACCTCCTCTTCTCCAGGCTAAACATGCCCAGCTCCCTTAGCCGTTCCCCATAAGGCATCGTTTCCAGGCCTTTGACCATTTTGGTTGCCCTCCTCTGGGCACATTCCAGTTTGTCAGTGTCCTTCTTGAACTGTGGTGCCCAGAACTGGACGCACTACTCCAGGTGAGGTCTGACCAGAGCAGAATACAGTGGCACTATTACTTCCCTTGATTTAGATGCTATACTTCTATTGATGCAGCCCAGAATTGCATTGGCTTTTTTAGCTGCCGCGTCACACTGTTGGCTCATGTCAAGTTTGTGGTCAACCAAGACTCCTAGATCCTTTTCACATGTACTGCTCTCAAGCCAGGTGTCCCCCATCTTGTATTTGTGCCTCTCATTTTTTTTGCCCAAGTGCAATACTTTACATTTCTCCCTGTTAAAGTTCATCTTGTTTGTTTTGGCCCAGTTCTCTAATCTGTCAAGGTCGTTTTGAAGTGTGATCCTGTCCTCTGGGGTGTTAGCCACCCCTCCCAGTTTGGCTGTCATCTGCAAATTTGATCAGGATGCCCTTGAGTCCATCATCCAAGTCGTTGATAAAGATGTTGAATAAGACCGGGCCCAAGACAGAACCCTGTGGCACCCCACTAGTCACTCTTCTCCAGGATGAAGAGGAACCATTGATGAGCACCCTTTGGGTTCGGTCAGTCAGCCAGTTACAAATCCACTGAGTGGTAGCATAGTCAAGACCGCATTTTACCAGCTTCTTTACAAGAATATCTTGGGGCACCTTGTCAAATGCCTTGCTGAAATCAAGGTAGGCTACATCCACTGTGTTCCCTTCATCTACCAGGGTTGTAATTCTGTCAAAAAACGAGATCAGGCTAGTCTGACATGACTTCTTTTTCAGAAATCCATGCTGACTATTGGTGATCACAGCATTCCTTTCTAGGTGCTCACAGACTGTCTGCTTAATGATCTGCTCCAGAATCTTCCCTGGTATTGATGTCAGACTGACTGGGCGATAATTATTTGGGTCCTCTCTTTCCCCCTTTTTGAAAATAGGTACAACATTTGCCCTCCTCCAGTCTGCCGGGACTTCGCCTGTTCTCCAGGAATTCTCAAAGATGACTGCCAGTGGTTCTGAGATCACATCTGCTAGTTCTTTTAATACTCTTGGATGCAGTTCATCTGGCCCTGGAGACTTGAATACATCTAAACTAGCCAAGTATTCTTGTACTATCTCCTTAGTTATTCTGGGCTGTGTTTCCTCTGCTGAATCATTTGCTCCAAATTCTTCAGGTCGGGCATTGTTTTCTTTATCGGAGAAGACTGAGGCAAAGAAGGCATTGAGGAGTTCAGCCCTTTCTGTGTCCCCTGTTTGCATTTCACCATCTTCTCCTCTGAGTCACCCCACTGTTTCTTTGGTTCGGGATGCAGGCTGCTATCCGCAAGCCTTGGGAGCCCGACGGGAACTCCCACGGAGCTCCCAAGGCTTGCAGATAGTTTCCTGAAGCCTGGAGAGGAGAGGGGTCCGTGTGCACCGACCCCTCTCACTCTCCAGGCTTCAGCAAAAGCCTGCATTAGCCCCATAGGACGCACACACATTTCCCCTTCATTTTTGGAGGGGGAAAAGTGCGTCCTATAGGGCAAAAAATGTGGTATATAATATAGGTGGCCCCCCGCATGCTAAAACCGATGGTTTGATGATTTTCTCGATTTCTGTATTCTAAAATCTTATTAAGTTCAATTACACTCCTGTCAAGATAACAATCCTTTATACAACACCTGCAATATTAATGACTTCCATTTGTATTGAAACATCAAATAATATATAAAACTACAAGTGAGGCACTCCAGCGATATCCTTACTCTTCCTGTGTGTGGCAATCTTCCTGTTCGTGATGTTTTTTCCTGTCCTTGTAAAATGTTCTGTCTATCTTTTCCTGGTTGTTGCTGTTCTCCATCAATCCTTGGGCGGAGCTAATATCCCATTGTGGTTTCAGAAATTCTCCATCGCTCTGTCCTGTGCTTCGTTGTTTGGCAACTTTAACAGCAGCTGCAAAAATCACACTATCCCAATAAATAATCAGTTTTCGCCATTTTTCTTCTCTGCCTGGGAAAGAGAGGGATCTGTCAGAATTCCAAATGACTCAGTAATGAACCTTATCAGCTCCTGCACAATTTTCAGATTCCTTACATCCCTCTGTCTGGCCTAAGATAAATGCGCACTTATCCAATTAAATTAAATTAAATTCCAAGTCCTTTTAGCATTAATCAGTTCAGTCTGTATATAATACAGGAAGGGGAAGAGTCAGCTCTAATTTTCCATCGTAAACATTTTGCAAAATAGAGCTTCCCTCCCTTTTTCCTTTTTCTTTTTACACACACAGTTCCATTTGATGTTACATTCCATATCTGCAGTCCAGTTTCATCCCTGCTCACCTGTGTATTTTGAACTAGTATTCAATCGCAGGCTACCAATTCATTAGTGTAGAGAAGAAAACTTTATAAAAAGAAGCCATAGTCTCCCCTCCCCCCACCCACTGTCTTTTGCACCAAATGAAGTCTACTCTCAAATTCAAACCTTAAAGACCTTGCAGCTGGTTCAATTCCACAGTTTATGATCTCATCTCTTCCAGCAACGCCTGCACATTAGTCCAAATTGAGCTCTGATTGACAGGAGAACCTCTGCTTCTTAATGGCAGCAAAGGAGTGTTTTCGGCAGGCAAAGGGCTTTTGCACTCAGCGCCTCCGTGCCTCCCGCAATCCATGCCGGAGCCTGGTAGCGAGACAAACTGGGAGTGAAGCCCGTTCCCCCCTGTCCCTGAGGGAAACTTGCGAGGAGAATAACCCTCAATCATCCTTGTTTTTCCTTTGCCAACGATCTCCCGCTGCCTCCATTAAAGCAGAGCGGAACCAGAAGCTAGCAGGGGAGACTTTGACAAGCCCCATCTGTACTTAGAGATGCACTTACAGTTTCCCTCTTATATTTCTCTCCCAGGAGACCGAATGATGCCAGCAAGACCTGCTCCTTCATCTTTTCATAGTGGTGGAGAGGAGGCAGCAGCTGTGGACCCAGATCAGGTAGGGGGAAGGAGCCTTGTGGGGAAGGACTGCTTGGATGCAGACTGGCTGGACACAGTGGATGCAGAGGAATGGTGGGAGGAGCCAGAGAAGAGGGAGCCGACTGGGAGGAGGAGGAGGAGGAGGTGTCTGAAGCTGGAGAGGGAAGAGGGCTCAGGGAGCAGAGGGAGTCTGTGGCAGAGAGCAGCCCAGACTCCGAGGCAGAAGCTGCAGCAGGAGAGAGGAGGGATGAGGAAGGCAGAGAGGGGTCTGGCCGCTGTAGAAAAGCAACAGAGCCAAGTGAATGTTCTCTAAGAGGACAGCCTTTTTCCTGTTCTGTTAGGGTCCAGTGTGCTTTGAAGATGTAGCTGTCCATTTCACAGACGAGGAGTGGGCGTTGCTGGATCCTGACCAGAGAGCTCTCCATAAGGAAGTCATGGAGGAGAATCGTGGGATCTTGGACTCTCTCGGTAAGGCTCCCTATTGGATCATCCTATCTGTTTTGTAATTCAAGACATCTCTCTATGTGACAAACCTCTGATATTTCGATGGGGGCTCAACAGCGCCACCCACAGCACCTGGGATGTTAACACTCCCACAGCAAACCTTGGATGGATGGCTATTGTTTTTCCCTGTGAATATTCTTCCTCCAGTTCTGTCGTTTAAAACCATGATCAGGCTGTCTGAACTGCCCAGGCCTTCTTAAATGTAGGATTCAGAGTGATTTGAGGTGTTGAAGTAGCTTCAGTCACGTTTCCTGCTTTTGTTCTTGCTTCTGTCTCTCTCTGGTTGACCAAAGAGTCGCTTGACATTGGAGATGGCACAGATTCCACGACTGAACCAAACAAACTCCATCCCAAAACAGAGCCAGGCTTTTTGAATCTCAGGCAGTGAACCCTGTAGTAACAATAATGATAATATTAATATTTTTACCCTGCCCATCTGACTGGGTGGCCCCAGCCACTCTGGGCAACTTCCAACAAATAGAAAAACATAATCAAACATCAAACATTAAAAACTTCCCAATACAGAGGTGCCTTCAGAAGTCCTCTAAAAGTTGCATAGTTATTTCCTTGACATCTGATGGGGGGGGCGTTGCACAGGGTGGGTTCCCCTACCGAGAAGGCCCCCTGCCTCGTCCCCTGTTACTTCTCACAATAATGTAACATTTAAGTAAGGAAACTTGAATAATAATACCAATGCTGATATGACAAGTTTCTGCTGCAATCTGTGATGTCGAGAATTTATGAAAATTGCTTTAAGGTGATGCACATCATCATTAAATTTTTAGCCACTAAATAAATTGGTCACCTTTTAGATAATAATGAAAGCACATTTTATTTATGAAGATAGTACAGATCCATATTTAAATGACGTTACCAGGTTAAGCTGTACTTTTAAAAACATGAGAGAGAAAACATCTAGTATTCAACTTGATTTGTATACGAAACTAGACATAACAAAAGGAATATTATAACATCTAAATCCCTTCAGTTCTTCGCCTCTCCCAAGCATTAATGAGCATTGTTCCATAATTTGGGGCTGCACTTCTTCCCGAGACTCTAATCCCTTTGCCTCTTAGTTTCAGATGGTGATGAATTGGAAATGAAGAACAAGGGAGACTACAACGAAATCCACAGAGTGGTGGAGCCATATCAGGATTCAGACTGTGGAGAGGGCTTCAGTCAGAGCTCCCATTCCACTTCCCATCAAAGAAATCCCCTTGAGAAGAAACCCTATCAGTGTTTGGAATGTGGAAAGAGCTTCACCTGGAAACAGAGTTTGGCTGTCCATCAAAGAATTCATACAAAAGAGAAACCCTATCACTGCTTGGAGTGTGGAAGAGCTTCAGTCAAAGCCACAACCTCACTTCCCATCGTAGAACTCATACAGGGGAGAAACCATATCACTGTGTGGAATGTGGAAAGAGCTTCAGTCAGAGGGCCAAGCTCACTTCCCATCGTAGAATTCATACAGGGGAGAAACCATATCACTGCGTGGAATGTGGAAAGAGCTTCACCTGGAAAAAGTGTTTCACTTCTCATCAAAGAATTCATACAGGGGAAAACCCCTATCAGTGCCTGGAATGTGGAAAGAGCTTCACCAGGAAAGAAAGTCTCACTGTCCATCAAAGAATTCATACAGGGGAGAAACCATATCACTGCGTGGAATGTGGAAAGAAGTTCACCTGGAAAATAAGTTTCACTTCCCATCAAAGAATTCATACAGGGGAAAACCCCTATCAGTGCCTGGAATGTGGAAAGAGCTTCGTTAACAGCACCACACTCACTTCCCATCAAAGAATTCATACAGGGGAGAAACCCTTTAAGTGCTTGGAATGTGGAAAGAGCTTCACCTGGAAAATAAGTTTGACTTCCCATCAAAGAATTCATACAGGGGAAAACCCCTATCGGTGCTTGGAATGTGGAAAGAGCTTCAATCAGAGTGCCCATCTCGCTTCTCATCGTAGACTTCATACAGGGGAGAAACCATATCAGTGTGCGGAATGTGGAAAGAGCTTCATTAGAAAGCACAGTTTCACTTCCCATCAAAAAATTCATACAGGGGAGAAACCCTATCAGTGTGTGGAATGTGGAAAGAGCTTCAGTCAGAGGGCCAAGCTCACTTCCCATCAAAGGATTCATACAGGGGAGAAACCATATCAGTGTGCGGAATGTGGAAAGAGCTTCAAACAGAGTGCCCATCTCACTTCTCATCGTAGAATTCATACAGGGGATAAACCCTATCACTGTGCGGAATGTGGAAAGAGCAGCATTCCAAAGCACAGTTTCACTTCTCATCGTAGGCTTCATACAGGGAAGAAACCCTATCAGTGCATGGAGTGTGGAAAGAGCTTCATTAGAAAGAACAGTTTCATTTCCCATCAAAGAATTCATACAGGGGAGAAACCCTATCAGTGCTTGGAATGTGGAAAGAGCTTCAATCAGAGGGCCCATCTCACTTCTCATTGTAGACTTCATACAGGGGAGAAACCATATCAGTGTGCGGAATGTGGAAAGAGCTTCACCAGGAAAGAGAGTCTCACTGTCCATCAAAGAATTCATACAGGGGAGAAACCCTATCAATGCTTGGAGTGTGGAAAGAGCTTCACCTGGAAAGAAAGTCTCATTGCCCATCAAAGAATTCATACAGGGGAGAAACCATATCAGTGCTTGGAATGTCGAAAGAGCTTCACCAGGAAAGAAAGTCTCACTTCCCATCAGACAAATCTTACAGGGGAGAAGCCCTATCAGTGCCAAGAGTGTGATCGGAGGGATTTATGAAAGTCTGGTCTCATTTTTAAAGTTCTCTAAAAAAATATACTTGTAGCTCTTAAAAGGACTTAGAGCTGTCTGAAAAAGCTAAAATCAAGACAGGATTGGACAAGTTCGTTTCTCTTTGAAGGAACAGGAGAATGTTAGCCGCTTTGAGACTCCTTAAAGGGAGTGAAAGGCGGGATATCAATCCAAACTCCTCCTCTTCTTCTTCTTCTTCTCCTCCTCCTCCTCCTCCTTGCAGGACCCCCTTTTCCTTCCTCTTTGCTCAGAGAGTCGGAACCAACTCTCAAGGGACCCTGGAGCCAAACACTTGCAGAGTTTTCCTCTAGCTTCTGAAGCAAAGGGTGTACAGAAATCTGTTCCCCACGGAGGGAGAAGCTCGCCAGGCCCCCAAGGTCCCCAGATGAAGCAGCTCTGCGCCTGCACCACGCCCTGGGTGTTGGAAAAACGCCTGGGAAGGCCGCCACCTTCGCAAGACACCGAGGCATCTCTCCGATGGTCACTCTCTGGCTGTAAATCTTCCTCAGTCCAGAGAGACTGGTAATAAGCAACCCCTCCCTCCTGAGAGGAGCACACTCGTCTTCTGGCGTCTCATTGCAGAAGAAAGAGACAATCAGTAGCTATAAACTACCAGCATGTCTGCTCTCTCTGAGCATGTCTGCTCTCTCTGAGCAGCATAATAATAATAATAATAATAATAATAATAAATAATAATAAATTTTATTTATATCCCGCCCTCCCCAGCCGAAGCCGGGCTCAGGGCGGCTAACAACAGTCAAATAGTCAAACAGTCAAATTCTAAAAACATTCTAAAAACATTTCATTATAAAATTAATTAAAATCAAATTGTTGGCAACCGATTAGGCAAAATTCTGTGCAGGTTGCCAGAGGAGGGAGTCAGGCTGCGCCCTGACCAAAGGCCTGGTGGAACAACTCTGTCTTGCAGGCCCTGCGGAAAGATGTCAGGTCCCGCAGGGCCCTAGTCTCTTGTGACAGAGCATTCCACCAGATTGGAGCCGCAGCCGAGAAGGCCCTGGCTCTAGAACAGAAGAGCGCACTTCACACAGAAGCGAAAGTAACTTTTCACAGTACTGAGACTGTGCTGGGACTTCCTGTCTCACACTCTCAGACACTCACATGATGTAAACAACCATTGAGCTGCTCTCTGAGCAGCTGGTGAGATAAAAATCCGCAGGGAGAGAGGGACCAGCAAAAGGGTTAAGTGGCACCCAGCTGGCTTCCTAGAGAGGAATAAAGGGAGGAGGCTCCCCAGAGCACAAGCTCCGCCCCCATCCGGGCTTTTGTCTCTCTGCTCTGCAAGTGCTGCCTGGGGGCGCCTTCTGGGATCCGGTGAGTTGCCTTGGGGAGATGGGGGGTCCCAGGGCTGCAGGGGAGGGTCCCCCCAAGAAGACCCCTCTGGGGCCCTGGCTCCTGAGAGAGAGAGCAAGAGAGAGAGAAGGGAGCAGGGCGAGCTCCGCTTTGCAAGGGCTCAGAAGAACAGTCATGAGGGCCAGGGAGTCATGATGAGGGACCCCCAAAGTCATCTAGCCCACCCCCGGCCAGGCAGGAATCTTCTGCCCAGCCTGGGGCTCGAACCCAGGGGCCTGAGATCAAAGAGACTCGTGCTCTGCCCACTGAGCTCTCCTGCCTTGTTCGGGTTCATTTCTGGAAGAGTCTGACAGAGAGAATGTGAGCTTGGTTTCACCTTGCAAGGGTTAAAAGTAACTGAGCTACATTACTAGAGAGGACAGGGAATTAAGGGGGGGGGAATGAGGTCCTCCTGAGCAAATGCCCCTCCCTCCTTCCCAGGATCCTCCCTGCAAGAGGGGGAGGGGGCTTTCATTTCCTCTGCAGGAGCTGCCTCAGTTTCCCTTCTGGCATCTGGTGAGTTTCCTCTCTTTTCTGCCCTAGGGTGCATTGGGGAGAAGTGGGGCGGGGTGTCCCAGGGCTGCAGGGGGGGGGATCCGTGGGGATTTTGCTCAGCTCCTGCAAGGGGATCCCCAAGCCAGGGCTAAGAGGTTCTGCCCCCCTTCTCTCTGCAAAGCCAGGGAGGCTGCAAGTAGCAGGAGGTCTGCAACTCTTGTCTTGCTCCTTTGGGGAGGGGTCACTGTTGGCATCAGGCTGCAAGAAGCTCAGGGGAAGTGGCAGGTTGGGGCACCTAGGAGAATATCCTACACCCGTTTAGCGGACAGACTAAGAGCCCTGGAGCTGGAGGAGGGAGACCTGGGCCCAGTTCCCCCCATGGCTAGGAGCTTTGGAGGGAGGTGGGGAAGATGGGGAGTGAGAGGAGCTGGTTCTGGGTGGAAACATCCACTCTGAGGAAAAGATCACCAGCTTGAGAAAGGAGTCTCTGAGCTTAGTGGGAAGGACAGTGTGTGGTGTCCTGGGAGAGTAAATCAGGCCAGGAATGAACTGGGAGGCTGAGCCAGGAGAAGGAGGAGCTGGAAGGAGACCGGCTGCTGAGCTCTCATCCCAGTCAGGAGGGGAAAGATCCTTCTAGAAAGAGAAGACTCCCAAACCAGAGATCCCTTGGGTCTTTTGCTTGGAGTACCTCGAGAGTAGGGTGACTGGCAGAAAGTGCCACCTTGTTAAGAGCCAAAGTATTACGTGTGAAACAACTGAGAAAACCTTGAAGGGAAATAACATTGTAAACTGAGGTATCCTAAGTTTTATCCACTCATGTCAAAAACTTCCTTGTTAAATAAAATTGTTAATGTTTATTTGAAGAAATCCTGCCTGAGACTCCCAATTAGTGAGTTTTACCTCACGCAAGTCCCCCACAAGATAATCTGAGGTAGTTGGAGGGCATTTGTGGGAATTGTGTTCTGTGAGGTGGGTGCACTATATTTAAGAGAGAAGACGGGCCCAAGGCTGCCGGGGGGGGGGAGAGCCCTTGCGTCGTCGCATATTAATTGGTGGCAGGGGTGGCATACAAAGTAAAAACCCACACAGAAACGTACCCAGAGACACAGAACAACCAGTTTAATAAAGTAGTGAAGTTATTTGATTAAAAAGAGAAAAAATTCCTGTCAGAAAATGACCAGCAAGCGCCAAGCCAAAGAGACTCAGGATGACCCAGCTGCTGCGTCTGAGGAGAATCCTAATATATTGAATTAGAGATGATGAGGCTAAGATTGGAATTGTCTAAGGTTGAAGCAGAGAAAGAAAGAGAAGAGGCCAGAATGGCAGCTGCCCTTCATCTAGCAGAGATACAGGCAGAAAGAGAGAGAGAGAGAGAGAGAGAGAGAGAGAGAGATGAGCCCAAGAAGAAAGAGACATGTTTCCTTTAAAAATGGAGGAGATTCAGGCGAGGGCAGAACTGCCGCAAGCAATGTTGGGGGTGGAGATTTTACCTCAGCAAATGTAATGTACCATATTTTTCGCTCCATAGGACACACCGGACCAAAAGACGCACCAAGTTTTTAGAAAACAAGGGGGGGGGGAAACAGGAAGACAAGAACAAAAATATGACTCAAATGTTGTACTAAACTATTTAAAACAGCAAAGTGTGTGGCTCCTGTCCACTTTGCTGCTTTAAAGCGAGCCGCGGTATATAATGAAGAGAATGGAAAAAGGACAGACATTCCATTAGAATGTAGCTGTTTTCATCATCACTGGGAAGTCAGTATTGGCAGCAGTCACAAAAACTAAAATTTGAGCATTTTACTGTTATTAATCAATAATATTAATAGTCGGGGAGAGAAACCAGGGCTGTGCAAATGAGAAGTGCTTGGAGTATGGAGGAACAGCAAAGAGATCAAATGATTGCGCTCCAGTTCCTAAATCTCTGAAGTTTTCTCAAAACAGGCATGGTTGTTTTGAAAGGAAGATTCAAAATGGAGTGACTGAGCAAAGAACAGAGGAGGAAAAGAGGGAAGATAAATAGCTTCCATTCAGTACCAAGAGAACACAATGTTTTTGGTTTGGACTGTGGACTGTGCTTGTAAGAATTTTTTTAATGAATTATAGATTTGGAGTGGAATATCAGTGCCTCTTTTCAGCACTAAAGATTAGCTGCTAGGAACATGGTCCACACACAAACACACAGGATGTCTGGTTATAGTTGTGCAGTTTGATCTGTTCCTGATCCAGATGCCTGCTCAGTTTTAGCTGAGCTCACTATGACTGGTTTGTGGAGATGCTTTGCATGTATTGATGACTATTTCCGCAAAACTGCTACTTGAAGAAATGCCCAAACTTAACATTTATAAACTTCAAATGGAGCTCAGAATCCAGTCAGGCAATCCTTTGCAGTTGAATTAGGAGGCACTGAGAGACGGCAATTTGCTGCTCCCCACCCAGGAGCACACAGCCTTCCCTCTGCCTGCAAACCTTGTCGGGGCTTCAGGGGAAAGCAAAGGCTGCAGGCAGAGCAGTGTGGCTCCTCTCCCCACCCCCAGAGCGCGGGGCAACAGCGATTTGGCTCCAGGGATCGCACATTTGCTCCATAAGACGCACAGACATTTTCCTTATTTTTTAGGAGGGAAAAAGTGCGTCCTATGGAGCGAAAAATACGGTGATGGTGTGCAGGCATTCCTGTTTACTTTTGAGCGGACTTGTAAAAATTTAAAAGTTCCTGAGGAAAACAGGATGCTCTACTTACGCCCACAGAGATGTGGAATTTTGAGTGAAATATACTCAGATCTCAGAGAGGATGAAACCTCTGATTCCCTCACATTTAAAGACAGAGTGAAAGTGCGCTTTGGACTGAGTGCAGAACAAAGCCCAAAAGCCTTTTGTGAAATTCAAAGGAAACCAGGAGAGACTTAGGCCCAACTGGGTAGCCGAATTGACCAAGCTCTGGACAGATGGGAGGAAAGTGAGATGAGCTCAAACAGCTCATCAGTTTAGAGCAATGTTTCCAAGAGGTTCCTGCTCATTTAGGCTGAAAACAGTAACTGAAGTCTCTACCTTGGGAGATGAAATCAAAGGAGACTTAGGGGGAGCAGTAATGCTCAGTCCCTTCAAGAAAAAGTAATGATTGGAAACCCAGGGAGGAAGTGGGGTCTCAAAACGACAACCCTGAAGGGCGGGCCCAAGGGTGCCGGGGGGGAAAGAGCCGTGATACGAAGTAAAAACCCACACAGAAACGTACCCAGAGACACAGAACAACCAGTTTAATAAAGGAGTGAAGTTCTTTGATTAAAAAGAGAAAAATTCCTGTCAGAAAATGACCAGCAAGCGCCAAGCCAAAGAGACTCAGGATGACCCAGCTGCTGCGTCTGAGGAGAATCCTAATATATTGAGTTAGAGATGATGAGGCTAAGATTGGAATTGTCTAAGGTTGAAGGAGAGAAAGAAAGAGAAGAGGCCAGAATGGCAGCTGCCCTTCATCTAGCAGAGATACAGGCAGAGAGAGAGAGAGAGAGAGAGAGAGAGAGAGAGAGAGAGATGAGCCCAAGAAGAAAGAGACATGTTTCCTTTAAAAATGGAGATTAAGGTGAGGACAGAACTGCCTCAAGGAATGTTGGGGGGTGGAGATTTTGCCTCAGCAAATGTAAAGTGTGTAAAAGGTGATGGTGTGCAGGCCTAACGGTCCAAGCTTCAAAATGCCAGTTTTCAAAATGAGGCAAGTCAAATATTTGGGTCCCAAGGGGTGGAAATATTATCCTGACTGGAGCAAGGCAAAGGTCATTCAAGAGGGGCCTGGACCCTCCACAAAGAGAGAAAGAAGAGCTTTTCTGGGGGGACAGGGATATTGTCCTCCATTTATTCCTCCTTTTAGCCCCCATGCTGCTCCTTGACATGACTGGGAGAAGAAAGACCAGCCAGACAAGAGCATTTGGAGGGACCAGTGCCAGGCAGCGTTGGGACATTTAAAAACGCCCTAGATCCGGGGTCAGCAAGCTTTTCCAGCCGGGGGCCGGTCCACCGTCCCTCAGATCATGTGGGGGGCCGGACTATATTTTTTGGGGGAAATGAACGAATTCCTATGCCCCACAAATAACCCAGAGATGCATTTTAAGTAACAGGACACATTCTACTCATGTAAAAACACGCTGATTCCCGGACCGTCCGGGGGCCGCATTGGGCCACATCCAGCCCCCGGGCCTTAGGTTGCTTCCCCCTGGCCTAGATGGACCTTGGGGTCCCTTCCAACTTTAGGATTCTGCTCTTCATTTTGGAAGGCGGACAAGGAGCAAGAGCAACCTGCCTTCGCAAGGAAGAGGACGGAGTCTTCATCTCCTTGGTTGCCCTTCTCTGGGAGGGTGGGCAGATTTTGAGGAGCAAAAACGAGGATGCGATGATGACTCTCACTTTCAATACTCCTACTATAGGTAGGCTAGAGAAGCTGTGAGATGTTTTGCTGAGGGGGGGCGCAGGAGAAGAGAAGAGGAACGCAAGTCTTCCATCCCCAGTTATGTCTCCTCCAGAACGTCTGGCCAGAGACATTTTGACCAATTTTTTAAAAATCTGGTGGATTCCAGCAGACCTCAACCATCCTGCTCTGCCTGCTGCTCTACTTCTCCATCCCATAACTCCTAAGCTCTGCAGCTCACCTTGCTTCACCTGCCAAGGAAGAGGGCCCTCTCACCTTTGGCTCTCCTACCGAGTCCCTTTCTTCTCTGAACAGCCCAGGACCCCAGCCTCTCACTTCATGGCCAACTTGCCTGGTTGAAGGAGCTTTGAAGACACGCCGATTCCAGAGGATGAGGAGCGTCAAACACACCGTTTAACCCACACGGGTTGGCAACCCAAGTCTCAATCCAATTCCAACATTTATGAGGTATTTTGCGGGGCTTGGGCACCCACCAACTTAGAACAATGTCACCCGAGGGGAATAAAAGGCTTCCTAGGAAAACCCCCCTGGCTGCTCCTGGGTTGTTTCCAAGGCGACTTCACCCAAGAACATACATTTATGGCTGAACTCCAGACACAAAGCAGCAGGTGGGACAACACAGAATGGCCCCCCCAGCCATGTCTGGCCATGTCTCCCCCCTCCAGCCCCCCAGGACCCCCTCTTGCTGGGACAGGGCTCTCTGCCCCCCAGCCCCCCCAGGGCCCCCAAGAGAGACTCGCCCCCCCCGGGAGAAGAGACACCCCCCGGTCCCCCATCTGCCCCCCACAAAGACACAAAGCAGCAGGTGGGACAACACAGAATGGCCCCCCCAGCCATGTCTGGCAATGTCTCCCCCCTCCAGCCCCCCCCCGGGGACCCCCTCTTGCTGGGACAGGCTCTCTGAACCCCAGCCCCCCCAGGGCCCCCAAGAGAG